AGTTTTGCAATGAGTATTTATACCCCTCTTTTCATTAATAAAATCAAGTCCTCTTATATCTTTTCATGGTATCAGAGTCATACCAATCTTTTTTAGTATGACGACTTCTTTCTCTTCCTCCCGAGAAATATCCTCCGCCTCATTTGCCCTTGTTCCAACCAGAATTGATGGCACTTCCTCCCTCATCACTGGCCACAAACTCAACGGCTAAAATACCTCCAGTGGTCTCTATCCTTCATGATGTTTATCTGCAGCAGAGGCAAGGACGACTTTATCACCGGTGATGTCGTCGCTCCGACCAAGGATGATCAAAAATTTCGAACATGGAATGCAGAAAACCACATGGTCATGTCATGGTTAATCAATTCCACAACCAACGACATCGGCAAAAAGTTTCTTCTCTACGGCACGACCAAGAGTATTTGGGATGCTGCTCGAGAGACATACTCTCACTCAAATAATACATCCAAGCTCTTCGAGATCGAGTCAATCCGCCACGATCTTCGCCAAGGTGATCAATCTGTGACTCAGTATTTTAATGCCCTCTCACGTTACTGGCAACATGTTGATATGTATGAAGTTCATGTCTGGTCATGCACTCCGGACTCCAACTTATATCATTAGATCATTGAGCAAAAAAGGATATTCAAATTCCTTCTCGGTCTCAACAACTCTCGAGATCATGTCCGCTCTCGAGTATTAGGCTTCAAACCACTACTGAGCATTCGCGAGGCCTTCTCCGAGGTTCGCCTCGAAGAAAGCCTCCAGAAAGTCATGCTTGGGTCTATCTCCACCTCACCCAATCTCTTCATTTTCGCCTCCGCCCTTGCAGCTCGGGTTCCTTCGCCTCGACACAGCGACAACCCATAAAGTAAGGGTCGTCCCTGGTGCGACCAATGCGGCAAATTGGGTCATAATAAAGACTAGTGTTGGGTGCTTCATGGAAAGTCAACCTATTGGAAGCCTCAGTCTGACAGGGAAAGTCAACCGATTGGAAGCCTCATTCTGATCGCGTTCCATGTGCCAACAGTGCAGTCGCTACTGATGACCTTCCTGCACCAGCACCCAGTCCATTCAACAAAGAGCAACTCGATTTGCTGCATAAACTGATTGGCAAACCATCTGATCTGGTTGTTCTCGACCCCATCACCGGCGTTCTACGCCTTCACAGTCAATCAAGGATCCCTCAGTCAGTGGATCATCGATTTCGGCGCTTCTCATCACATGACGGGCAATGTCTTTTGGCTCAGTGCGCTTCACCCAAAACATTCTACTCTGATCTGTGCTTCATGTTCCTACTTTAAATTGTAATTTAATATCCATCGGAAAGTTGACTAGTGATCTGAGATGTATTGCTAAATTTTTTCCTACCACGTGTGAATTTCAGGATGCAGACTCTGGGACGACGATTGACTATGCTAAGTTGTGCTCGGGTCTCTACGTCATCAACAGTACTTTACCATCATGACTTTACTGCGGGCATTTGTCTACCCAGCATTTTGTCTTCAATTCTAATGTCCATAAATATTCCGAGATTATGTTATGGCATTTTCATCCCAGCCATCCAAATTTTATGTATCTTGCAAAACTATTTCCAAATTTATTTATCAATAAAGATGTTCGTTCTTTTCAATGTGAAATTTGTCAACTTGTCAAACACACTCGCACGTCATTTCCACGTGTTGGTTACACCTATTCCCGGCCCTTTGCACTCATTCACAGCGTTATCTGGGGTTCATCCCGTGTTACAACCCTTACCGGGACTCGGCGGTTTGTCTCTTTTATTGATGATCACACTCGACTAATGTGGTTATTTTTTATGAAAGATAAATCTGCAGTCGGTCACATATTTGATCAATTTTACTCAATGATCCAAACACAATTTCAAACCTCCATTCAGGCACTCAAGACTGATAATGCAAATGAGTACTTTGCTTCCGTCTTCGACTCTTATCTCTCCTCTAAAAGGCATCCCCCATCTCAGTTCTTGCGTCAACACTCAACAAAATGGGATCGTCGAACGCAAGACCCGTCACCTTCTCGAGGTGACCCGCTGCCTCATGTTTTCCTTTAACGTAACTAAGGTTTTTTTGGGTGACGCATCCACTGCAGCCTACCTCATCAACAGGATGTCTTCTCGGGTCCTCAAATTTCAAAGTCCAGTCCAACTCCTTAAATCGTTTCCCCACACTAAGACAATCGCCCAAAATCTACCTACCAAAGTATAAGTGCTATTCCTTTGTTCACTTTCATTCACACAATCGCAACAAACTTGACCGTAAATCTACTAAATGTATTTTCTTCGGCTACTCACCTCTTCAAATAGGGTATAAGTGCTACTCTCCTCTCACAAGAAAAACCTACAATAGTGTGGATGTCACCTTCTTTGAAAATCAGCCTTATTGCCCAAATTGTAATATTCAACGGAGACTTTAAGGGAATATTAGTCTTGGGGGGACAATGATTTCATATCACCACACACCAAATCCTCGTCCCTTGAACCGAACTCATTATCTCCCGACTCGGATTCAACAAGTTCATCCAACTCACGTGAAAATGTACCTAACAATAAGTCTTCGTCTAGTCCTCAAGTGTCCAAGTCGTCAGCCATTCTTGCACCACCTCCCACCCACAACAAGCACATAGACCACCCAACACATCCAGCACCAATCCAAGAGTCAGAATCGGATCCAACTCCTACAGAAATTCACTCAGCACTCAGGTACGAACACACTTAACACACTTGAACATGAATCTACTATACCTATGATTGATGACTCCGACATTCCAATTGCTTTAATGAAAGATGTTATGTCCATCCGAACTTCACTCAGGTACGAACACACGATACATTCAATCTCCAACTTTGTGTCCTATTCCGAGGAAAGACTTTCTTCAACTACCCGAGCCTATGTCACTGCATTCGACAATACACAAATCTCAAACATCATTGATGAAACTCTCAACCACCCGGGGTGGAAAGCGGCCATCAATGAGGAGGTAAGAGCCCTACAAAAGAATGGTACATGGACTGTTTCAGACCTGTCAAAGGGAAAGAAAACAATCGGCTGCAAATGGATCTTCAAAATCAAACACAAGATAGATGGTACAATTGAGAGATTAAAAGCACGTCTTGTAGCAAAAGGTTTTTCACAATCCTACGGTATTGATTATCAAGAAACATTTGCCCCTGTGGCCAAACTTAACACCATCAGAATTATTCTCTCACTTGCGGCAAATGAAGACTAGCAGCTACATCAACTCAATGTGAAAAATGCTTTCCTAAATGGCGATTTGGAAGAAGTTTACATGGAAGCACCTCCCGGACTAGAAGCATCCTTTCCAAACAACAAAGTCTGCAAACTCCAAAAATCATTGTACGGCCTCAAACAATCTCCCCGAGCATGGTTCGATAGATTTGCTAAATCTGTGACAAAACACGGGTATACTCAGTATCAGCCAGATCACACTCTCTTCACGAAAACCTCTCTCGGAAAGAAGATTGCAATTCTAATCGTATACGAATTCTAATCTTATACGTCGGCGATATCATCATCACTGAAAATCACGAAGAACTCACAAATCTGACAACAAAGCTTCTCACTGGGAATTCGAAATCAAAGACCTCGGAAACCCAAAGTTCTTTCTCGGCATGGAACTAGCTCGATCAAAACGAGAAATATTTGTGTCACAACGAAAATATACATTGGACATATTGAAGGAAACATGTATGCTCGGTTGCAAAGCCATCGATACTCCAATGGATCCCTACAAAAAGATTAGCACTGACAAAAAATAGCGCACCTGTGGATAGGGGGAGATATCAGCGACTCGTGGGGCGACTCATTTATCTCTCACACACACGACCCGACATTGATTTTTCTGTTAGTGTTGTTAGTCAATTCATGAACAGCACTACAGAAGAACACATGAATGCAGTCTACAGAATCTTGAGATACCTCAAGATGACTCTAGGCAAAGGGCTACAGTTTCAAAGGAATAAGGATCGAAGTATAGAAGTGTATTCAGACGCAGACTGAGCAGGGGATGTCTCGGACTGACGATCGACTTTCAACTATTGCACTTATGTCTGGGGAAACCTAGTTACTTGGAGAAGTAAAAAACAGTCTGTAATATCAAGAAGCAGCGTTGAAGCTGAATTCAGAGCTCTTGCACTCTGGATCTGTGAAGGAATGTGGATTCGAAGAATACTCAACGAACTCGGAATGCTAACTGAAAAAACTGTCAAACTACAATGCGACAACCAGACAGTCATCAGCATTGCAAAGAATGCAGTACACTATGACAGAACGAAACACATCGAGATCGATCGACACTTCATCTCAGAAAACATTGAGAGAGGAGTCGTCGAACTTGCATACATTCCTTCGCGACATCAAACAACAAATATCCTCACTAAATCTCTCTCAAGAATCAACTTTGAAGAATTATGTAACAAGTTAGACATGTACAATCTGTACGATCCAACTTTAGGAGGAGTGTTGAAAGATCTCGAAAATACTAATGATTATATTTCATAATTGCTATAACTTTATATTTAGAGGGTTATAAATTACATGAGGGATTTTGAGAATCTCTATTTATTTTTCTCTTTAATTAGAGAGATTAGTTGTATCTTATATTTTGTTATTATTCATTTACTTTTCTACTGTAGTCTATTTTTATTGTTTTCCTTACAGTAAGTCTTGTAATGGGTATTTATATCATTTTTTTCATCAATAAAATCAAATCCTATTATATCTTTTCATATTTCAGTTGACGCTCGTGAAGTATTTATGACATGTGGCATGTCTTTGGTAAACCTTCTGCGTGGTAAAATTCACGAGTATCTATTTATTTTCCTCCCAGTTGGTGCAGACTTCCTAAACGATTGATTCTATTCTTATCTTATAACCAATGTTCTAGTTGTTCTTGTACTTTCCAGAGTTTTTAAATACATCAATCTATATTGGAATAATAAAATTTGTCTATTTGAACAGATCTATCTATATCAGCTCCCTTGCTGAGCGCTGGAGGCTCCCAGTACTTCGTTCTGAATTAAAAGAATTGCTGACTGGTTGCTTACATTTGGAGGTGCGGTCCAATTTGTCCTTCTATATCTTCCTTATTTTTTATTTAAAGCGTTAATTCACTTTCTAATATAATTTCAACTGCAATTTTGATATTATCTTGATGGTTTAAGATTAATTTCTCATTCGGCTTGTACTATTCACTTGAGCTTAGTTTTGGCTGAGTGATCATCTGTCCCCGAGTTTAGTCTATCCGGATAACCTTTGGTGGTCTGTTCTAAGGTTGGGCTAGTTTTTGGGCTGTTTCTTTCATGATCGTAGGAAGACATTATGAAAATCTCAAATTTTCCTTAAAAGAGAAGGATCAGTGAGTTTAGTCCACTTAATCATTAGTAAGGGGGATTAATTACTCCATAAGCAGCTCTAAACAAACGTAATTAAAGTTACTTTGAGAATACAAGTGGATGCGTATATTATGTTGGAAGATTTGTTATGCATTGATTGGAAGATTTAGTTGAATTATTCAATTAAGGTCCATTTATTCATGTTTAGGTTAGCTCAAGAAGGGGGCATGGGCATAATCTATGATGCACTAACACTTCTAACTAAGGAGCAGTGCACTGTCACTTCTAACTAAAAAAATAAATAAATAATAAAAAACTTAAAAATAATAAAAAAAGGAGCAGTGCAGTGCCAGATACTTCTCAGACATCGACACTAACCCAAAATGCCCTGTATGTGTGTCAGACATGTCCCTGACTTGTCAGATTTAATTATTAAAAAAAGGACACACGAATCTTAAATTAGTGATTTAAAAATTTATTTTTTTTTATGTATGGTATATTTATAATTAAAATAAAAAATTTATATTTTATTTAAAATTTAAACATATATGTTTGGCTTATCTATCAATTGCTTTTACTATGGAGGTTCGTCGATCGCTTGCCTGTGCCGGTATTCCCTGTTATAAACATCTTAGTTCTTGAATAATAATGTTATTATTATTATTATTATTATTATTATTATTATTATATAT